AAAACATCTAACAACTACTGTTTATACGTATCATGAAAACACCTAACAACTACTGTTTATACATATACATTAAAACATCTAACAACTAGTGATTATACGTATCATTAAAACATCTAACAATTACTGTTTATACATATCATTAAAACATCTAACAACTAGTGATTATACATATCACTAAGACATCTAACAACTACTGTTTATACGTATCATTAAAACATCTAACAACTACTGTTTATACGTATCATTAAAACCTCTAACAACTACTGTTTATACGTATCATTAAACCTCTAACAACTACTATTTATACGTATCATTAAAACATCTAACAACTACTGTTTATATGCATCATTAAAACCTCTAACTACTGTTTATACGTATCACTAAAACATCTAACAACTAGTGATTATACGTATCGTTAAAACACCTAACAACTAGTGATTATACGTATCACTAAAACACCTAACAACTAGTGATTATACGTATCATTAAAACACCTAACAACTACTGTTTATACGTATCACTAAAACATATAACAACTACTGTTTATGTACAAACACGATTCACGTACTAATATTAATAAGGCATGTTTGAAGTTAAGCACAAAGCTACTCAATGGGCTCTCTGTGCTCTGTCAATCATGGGTATCGAAACCTGGTTTATAGCGTTGGAAATCCGCAGACATAACGCTGTGCCACTGAGGGACATATTAATAAAGAAGGGACAGTAATCCCACTGGACGTTTAAGAATAATTTAGATAATTATGTATCATTCAAACAACTTTTACGAGACAAATTCTTCTAGGACAGCTGGTTGAGAAAACTAATGATGTATCTACAGTCAACGGGTATCTACAGTCAACAGGGTATCTACAGTCAACGGGTATCTACAATCAACAGGGTATCTACAGTCAACAGGGTATCTACAGTCAACGGGTATCTACAATCAACAGGGTATCTACAGTCAACAGGGTATCTACAGTCAACGGGTATCTACAATCAACAGGGTATCTACAGTCAACAGGGTATCTAC